TCCAGGAGGTCTTCCCAGCCCAGGGATCAAACCCTCATCTCCTGCACTGGCAGACAGATTCTTTACTACTGAGTCACCAGGGGCAGACTACAATCCACAGGGTTCCAAAAGAGTCAGACACAACAACTTAGCAGCTAGAACAACAACAAAGATATCCTTGGATGATTTATAAATATTTCATTTTTATCTGTCCCAACTATGTTTCTTTGCACTGCATGGTCTACACAACCTATGAAGCACAGATATTTTCGAGTCAGCCACCACAAGCTTCTGGCTGTTGACATTCCCTTCCTTCTCACAGAGAACTCAAACCATAATTTGGAGGTTCTTTTTTCTTGGGTGTAATGGAGGCCTCCATCATAAATGAATGGCCTGAAACTTCCTGAAGTCTCTCCCACATTCTCTTACCAGGTCTCTGATTACCATTAGATAGCTAAAATCTGATTTATGAAAGCTGGAACTCGGTCTGTGATCCGAAATGCAGGACCACCCATGATGGGGATGAGCCCGCACACCTGTTCCCTGAGCAACAAAAATCAGTGCTGGGTGTGCATCTTGCTGCCGTCGCTGCATTATGACTGGGTTTACAGCACACAGAAAGCTACGTGACTGACTCCCCCTCAATTCTGAGAGCCAACCCTCTGATGCTTCTCCTTTTTACAAATGAGAAAACGGAGGGCTGGGGCATAAATGAGCTATTCAAAAGCCTACAACTTGAATTCACACTCTTTTAAACCTAGAATTCTAATCTTTGCCCCTTGCCACACACTGCCCTGAAACCACCTCTTACCCCTGGCAAGAAACAGCCAATTTTACAAAGGCCTGACCAGGACAAAACTGGGTGAGGAGCATTTAAGATAGTGGCTCTCACACTGCAAGCTGAAAAAAAAAATCAGTTAAGTCCTGACTACAGACAGTTCTAAAGTGTAGAAGCTAATAGATTTGTGTCACATTTAAGAATAAACATTAATTCCTGAAACTCATTTCAGTTGTCTATCAACATTCCTATGTATGAGTTTCTTGCTGTGAGTATGTAGTCCAGAAAAGACAGCCACTGACTACATCCCTCTAGATCACAGCTTTAGATCTGAGGTTTAATTTCCCAGATTAGAAAAGTAACACGGGAAAGGGCTGATCGGGGTGCTGAAGGCTAGCATGGATCAGGCACCACTTGCGCAAGGCCTCTAGCCCTCTGCGGGCTTCCCGCAGAAGGTAAGGTATGCCTGCAGTGCGGGAGACCCAGGTTCAATCCCTGGGCTGGGAAGATCCCCTGGAGAAGGCATTGGCAACCCACTCCAGTGCTCTTGCCTGGGAAAAAAATCGCATGGATGGAGGAGCCTGGTAGGGTACCGTCCGTGCGGTCACAAAGAGTCAGACACGACTGAGCGGCTTCATTTTCTAGCCCTCGGCAGCAGAGAAGCACAGTCACCATCAGCAGCAGTGTCTGGGCTGCAGCCTTGACCAGCAAGCAGGTGCATCAGCCAAGCCTCACAGGCTCTGTGACCGTGTCTGGAGAAAGGCAGCGGCCCGGCACACAACTCTCCCTCATTTCTTCTCTCAGCACTTCCCTGGCGTGTCAGTAACAAAGAAGAACCTTCACTTCGGCAAGTTTTATTGACTGAAGAGTTAGCGGTCCTCACTGCCACCTTCCAGAACTCACAGCCCCCAGTTATCAAAACATAACACTCAAAGCCTTGATGTTGACCACGTTCAATTAGAATCCCTCATGTTCCCCTCCCCAGTTCAATTTTCTTTCTCTCCAGAAGCAACCCTATCATTTATCTGGTACCCATTTTCCAGTTTATACCCTAACAATTTTAGGATGTGTGCATGAGCAACATATAGCAATGCTTGGAGGGATTTTTTTAAATTACATTCGACTACTGTGAGGTACATATCCTGCGGTTTTCATTCATTGTTTTTTTCAGATGTATCCATATTTATACACTTTTTTTTTTGTAATATGCTGTATAGTATCCCATCATACATAGTCTATAAACGGTTCCCAATACACTGTTATTATAAGCAGCACTGCCATGAACATTCTCAGACATGTCTCCTCAAGTTCATATAGAAATTTGTTTAAGGTATAGTTGGAAGTAGAATTGTTGAGTTGTCATACACACGTATATATAGTCACTGCCAACCTCACATTCCAGGCAAACCCTACCAATAACTTAATACATGTCCTTGAGACTTTACACACCTGCACACATATATATATGATCTTCCCATGAATTTAGATAAAACTGTCTCATGGTTTATGCTGGGTTACAGAGGACTGTTTTCCGCATTAACTGACCAGTGCCCAGCTGATGAACATTACGGGTTTTTCCTTCATTACAGTAATTCAAGGACCTTTGCACAAGGACACACTAGTGCCAGGACATGTTGAACAGACCGGAACTGCTGGATCTACCTCTCATTTTTACAAAGGAAAAAAGGCTGAGTCTCAGACAGCTGGAGTGAGGAGCTGGCCCACAAACACCTCAGGAAATGAGAAATGATGGGGCTGGGGACCCCATTTCCTACAGTCTGGTCTCCAGTCCTCTAGGGGGCACCTGCTCTGCTTAAGTGAATAAAACATTCCAATACACAGCTGGGGCTTCCCTTGTGGCTCAAATGGTAAAGAATCTGCCTACAATGCAGGAGACACAGGTTCAAACCCTGGGTTGGGAAGATTCCCTGGAGTAGGGAATGGCAACCCACTGCAGTATTCTTGCCTGGAGAATTCCAAGGACAGAAGAGCCTGGTGAGTTATAGTCCACTGGGCCACAAAGAGTTGGAAATGACTGAGCGACTAACGTAATACACAGTATCCCTTTTACATGTTAGGTGCTGTCTCCAGTTAGCATGGGAGAATCTGTGACCACACAGTATAGCAATGGGTTCAAACTCTAAGAGGCAAGGGGAGATCTCCATGCTCCAATCTCAAGAAAGCAACAAGAACAGAAAAAGTTGGCCCCATACCTAGCTCTCCCCGATAAGCTTCAAAAAATTTTAACTGAGCATGTGCTGTGTGCTCTGTCGCTGAGTGGACAGGCTCATGCGTGCACGTACACACATCATGGATCAAGTGCAGCAACCCTGATGCCTAGCCTTGGGCATTTATGAGTTTGAATCCTGACTCAGCTCCTCATTAGCTGTGTGACCGCAGACAAATTATCTGACCATTCAGGCTCCCGACTACTCATCTTAAAAAAAAAAAAAAAAAAGCTAAAATTTGTACATATCTTATAGGGTTTTGTGAAAAGTAAATAAACTACTACATTAAGTACTCAGAAAAATCCCTCAGCCCATAATATACATTTAGAAAATATTTAGGATACTTGTTTAGTGCTAGTGCCTGAGACAAAGACAAGGTCCCTGGACTAAAAGAGCTAGTAAATTTATCAGAATGTCAAATAAAAGCAATAAAAGCGGGTGTGGCCGCCAGTCAGAGGAAGTGGCAGGTGGAGTAAATGTGCCCTTCCAGAGGGCACACGGAGATACATGGGAACCGGAGGAGGCTCCTCACCTCAAGGAGCTCTCCGAAAGGCTGAGACACTCACTCAGAGCAGTCCTGGGCAAGGTCACACCCTCAGCGCTGGGACCCAAGGCTTTAGCAAACACATACTTCTTTTAGGAACTGTAGAAAGGTGAGCCTCAGGGACACAGACATGATGGAAACTCTGAAAGCACGTCGTGCATGAACAAGCCCTATCCTGTGACTTTCCCCACCCTGGGAGCGTCTCTGCAAATGAGGATCTTCACCAACCATCGGCTTCCTGGTCTGTCTCCTCTCTCGGGCGGCGCAGGCTCTGTACTTCCTAGTTCCTCCACTCCCCTGGCAGCTGCCTCCGGGCTCGCTCTCTCACCCTATGCAGGTAGCCATCACACACCCTTCACTCCTCGTGGCCCCAGAGACACTTTATCTCTAAAATGGAGGGTTGTCATGAAGATTAAATGAAACAAACTGTGGCAAGTTTGTCTGCAGAAAGCGCTGGCACAACTTAGTTCCATTCCCTTCTCTGAGAATGCTTCCACCCTGGGACAGCTGTGCTCCACACCCTGGTATGATCTCTGAATTCTCTCTGGTCTCTGCCCACTACATTCCACCAGGGCCATGCCCCGCGCTCTACTAACCACCCATCACCCCCCCCACACACACACACACACAATCTACACAAGCTGCTGACAACGTGCGTTACCAAGACAGCTCTGCTCACACCTCTCAAAAACTTTCAGCTACTCCCCAGTGCGCGTTACTGAAGAAAGACTCAGTGTTCCAGGTATGCATGAAAGGTTTCTGAATCTAGCCGGAACCCACCTTCCAACTTCAGTCTCCCCATGACCCTTTTCTCCAGTTCAGTTAAATCACTTTTGGGGAATTGCATCATGAAATGTAGACTGCATCCAAATAAGAGGGTAAAACAAAGCTTGACAAGTTCTAATTGTCACAATTTCAGAGACTTTCATACCTTACTATGTATCATGTCTCTTTTACATTATCCCAAGCTTATTTGGATTTCTAGTGGTCTTTATTCATGGAGTTCAAGAAACAATCTAGAACAATCTGTACCACAATGATTCTCCAACAAGCCTGTGGAATGTACCAGTTAGGTAGGCTCAAGAGTGACTGCCATGGCGTATGGCCGTAAGCATCTTAAGCATATTTGTTGTTTATGACCCTCACTGTATGCAGTCTCTGTGAAGGTATAAAAATCCCAAACTGAGCCATGGGATGGAATCAAATGGCCGATGGCAGTACCCCAGCAGGAACGACAAAGATTTACTTTTCCCTTGACTTCCAGGGCTGCCTCCTTTCCCAGTCTTCCCTCTATCCCATGCCATAGACCTCCATTCAAATCCCTACATGCTTAAATTAGCCAGCATTGGCTTCTGAGGCTTAAAACCAAAGAACTGTCACTGGTGCATATAGTTCTTTGGGTCCCTGAGCAAATCACCCAAGTCTCCCCCAGGCAAAGGAGCTCTCAGACCCCTCCCCGTGGGTACAATACCTGTCCCATCCGGAGTAGACCTCACAAAGGTAGGCAGCATTTTCACTGAAGCCGTGGGGTGAGTGGTGGCTCCAAGCCCTTTCTCCATCTCCTTGCGAAACCGCTTAGCAATCTCCAGAAGGGTTTCATCAGAAAGACGCATGTGGTAGAGATACTGGTCAACCTGAAAGACGGGAACATGAATAGTGACATATATGCTAAATGAATTATGGTATTCATTTATATCATGGAATATCATTCAGCTTCTCAAAAGGGTAAAATCTACTAGGTACAGAAGGTTATTATTAAAGACCATTGAACCAGAATCTGTTCTGGTTTTTGTCTTAAAAAAAAAATTAACTAAAAATTAAAACTAGAAAAATGGTCTAATTTTATTTCTGGAGAATGGTGAAGACCAGGGGAAAGGCCAGCTGGGGGAAAGGCTCATCTCTTGTCCTCCGCACTCAAGGCCAGTCAGTCGTGCCAACCCTATTGCCCCTCACCACAGGCCAAGCAGCCGTCACCTCCTCCCTAGACTAATAAGAGTCCCTGATTCTACTTTTACTTCTGCTATCCATTTTCCATCCCCAGACAGAGTCTATACTATTCCCATGCTTAAAACCTTTCTGTGACTTCCCATCAGCACCAAATCTGAAATCCTTCCAAGGGCCTACCATACAGCCTGGCCTCTCCCATTCCTCCTCATCTTACCAGGTGCCTCTGCACTCCTTGTGCAGACCAGCCTTGGCTCCGTCCCCCAACACACCAACTTTGCCCTTCCCTGCCCTTCCCTGCCTGTACGACTGTTCACACAAGCCACACAGCACCTCACTCTGCTCTTCATCTACAGATCCCTTACCAATCCTTCAGGTCTCTCTGCACAGAGGCCTTCTCTGATCTTCCTAATAAAACAATCAGGCCTCCCTGTTTTTTCCTCTGAACTCAGGTTTTTCCCTTCACATCACCAACCTCAATTTGGAAATATATATTCATTAGTGTCCAAATCATAAGCACCTAGGGCAAGAACCATGACTATTTGTTCATGCTTGCATCGCTGAAGCCTAGCACAGTGCGTGACACATTGACAGAGGCTGGATACACGTGGTAAAGCAAAGGTCCTCCCCCATCCTCAGAGGCAGAGGCGGCTCTCCCTAGTCATTTCATTATCTTGTTCTCAACATAAACTTATGTGAACTTTTCCCAGACTTAACACTGGGAGAAGGAGAAACAACAGGAGTCCCCCTCAGACAGTCTGCTTCTTCTTTTTTTTTTTTTTCATTTATTTTTATTAGTTGGAGGCTAATTACTTTACATCATTGCAGTGGTTTTTGTCATACATTGAAATGAATTAGCCATGGATTTACATGTATTCCCCATCCCGGTCCCCCCTCCCACCAGACAGTCTGCTTCTTGAAGGCTCTCGTCTGCTCTGGCTGTGGATATTCCCAGTTTCCTTCGATCAGAAAAAGATCTGATAGGAATCCATCCAAGGAGGCACTCAAGTTTCCACAGTATCCCTGTTCTCAGCAGCAATGTCCAGGCCAGGGGGGGTTGCTGGCCATGGAGATGGGGGTAGAATCGGCACCCTTGGACCAAGCTACAGCTGTGCCCTCAAGGTATGAGGGTGGTGGCCCTGGTACTCCCAGCCTCACCAGCAAACTGGGGGATGAAGAGACCCTGTTCTTACCAGCTCCCAAACTTCAGGATTCCCGAGGGAATCCTGACTGGCTTGGTTTGGCTGATGACCACTACCACTGTTACTCCTGTGGGAAACACAAATAAATGCCCACCTTTCCTTTGCATAACTCTGATCAAGAAGCATACACATTTATAATGAGCTTTCCCAGACAAATGGGCTCATTAGTATTAATAGACTATTCTATTTTCCAGCACTTTTTCTTCGTCAGATCTTCTTAGAACCAAACTTTTTTGGTTCTAAGTTAAAACCAAAGTTTTTTAACCAAATTTTGAAGCTTGAGATTTTCAGAGAAACGGCAAAAGTTGTTTAATACTTTAAGGAAAGGACAGACCCATTGGCCTCTTTTGGGTTGGGCGGGGCGCGGTTGCAGAATTAGAGAGCAAGAGAAACAGTCCTCTTACTCACATGTTCTCTCTTCCAGGCCACATCCTAACTCCCTGTGGGATTTGGGGTCCATCCCTCTCTTCTGAGTGATTATGAGATGGGCCCTTCTCAGATCATTTCAAACATCCTGACCACGACTAATCTTTCATCATTCTTCTAAAGTCCCAAAAGTTGAAAGATCAGAAACTGGATAAAATGCTGCAAGAAGCTGTAAGCAAGACAAAGAAGAGACTGTGGTTAATCAGCCCACCCCTCTCCGTCACTGTGATGTGGTTAAAACAGAACAAAATTGGCAGACACAATCCTCAGATGGGATGGAAAAGGACAAAGCAGGCCTAGGGCAGTGAAAGCCACTCAGCCACGTCTCTACTCCCTCCCTGACCAGCGGAGGGATGACGCTTGTCATAGAGAGCTTTAAATTTGCAGAAATGAGGATATCCCCAAGTTCCCTTGCTGCTAGCGTTTATTAGAGAGCGGCCGTAGACATCTAACTCCTTGGTCTAAATCAGAAAGACTTCAATCATCCACTCTAGTTCCTAATTTCAGGGTCATGGCACCTCAGGTCTGTGGGGCACTAGCCCCCTGCCCTGAGCAGGGTCACTGATGTGGGCTTCCTACAATACTGGGGAGCCAGGGTATTCCTTAGGAGCTTGGCCTCCCCTATGGCAACACGTGAGGCTCCCAGGAGGAAAAAGCGTATAGGCTCAGACAAGTCCTCTCTCTGTTGGCACAGTGGGAGGCAAAACGCGGGAGACTCTGGGCCCGGAGCAACTATAATCACCCCAGAGGCCTGCTGCTTCAGACCCAGTGACAACCAGCTTGGCCTAGGACACTGCATTAGGGCTTAACACATCTCAGTGCTAATGTACAAGTCCCAGCCACCAGACCAAACAAAGGCTAAAGCCAAGCCACATCCAAGTACAGCCTCATAGGCAATAGTAGTAACAGCAAACCCTTCAGCAAAACCTGTTCTCAAGGTTTTATACCCATTAACTCACTGAATCCTCATAACAACCCTTTGAGGTGTTATTTTCTCCATTCAGCTGAAAGGGGAAGGCATCATGCCCAAAATCACACAGATGCAAAAGATTAAGCCAGGACTGGACGGGCAGCCCACTGTGCTCTTGTCCGCTCTACTAGATGAATGCCCCTGAACAACAGGGGCTCAAATGGCGCTACAGTGCATTCGGGCTGGCCACACCCACTAAAAGGCCATCTTCTGAACCAGTCACCCCCCCACACAGACACGCACAGGGCTGCCCTAGCAGGTCAGAGGGCAGCAGACATATCTCTGGACGTTGTCATGAGTTGACAGGTGACTAAGTTGGAGCTCCTGCCTTACTACTTTCCCAAAAAGAAGAGAGTCCCAGAAGCCTCGCTGCCACCCACTCCCGCCTCCATAGATGCTCCAGATGTTGCAAAGGCTCCAGATGTTCCCTTGTGGGAAAGCTGAGCCTGTGGTGCTGCCCCATGAAGGAGCTACCCTGTGGAGTGTGAGGAGTGTGAGGTCATGTACACAAAAGACCAAGATAGGATGGCCATAGTTCTACTGTGGTCATGCTTAATTCAACTTTGATGTTTAAGCTGCTACAAGGCTCGTCAGAAATCTAGTCAACACTCCTCATCCTTAACTCTCAAAAGGACCTAACAAGTTAAAGCGTCAGCCTTTACTCAAATCATGTTGCCCTTTACCCAAGAGATTATAATCATTCTTCAGTGTTCAGTAACAGATGAAAACAATCATGTTGATCACCATTACAGCAGCTAAACATTTACCAAGCATTTCTTACCTCCCAAAACCCACCCTACAAGTTTACTGACATGACATCCATTGTCCTTTTACAAAACTTCTACATCTCCATTTTATAGATCACTTGGTGAGGAGCACAGGTGTCTGGCTCTAAAGCTAGGCCCTTAGGACTACCACCCTCACTTTTCCTGAGGACCCTCCTCATCTGAGTGGGGACTCTCTGCTCTGCAGTTTCTTGGATGACCTCAGTGCTTTGATTTACTCTCCATCAGATGAGACCAAGGAAAAGGATACAGGACAACTATGAAAAATGCAACTACAGCACCTTGGCCCAAACTTCCTCTCTTTGGGCCATAATGATGGACATGATGATGTATCCACCCTGAGTTTCTTAGGGCCATTCAGGAAGGAGTAATTAACCACCTGATGCTATAACTTCCTAACACACAACTGAGGCCCACCCAGCCCTGGCCAGCACTGTTGCGTTGAGTTGAGAGTCGTCAAGGGAAGCAGGAGTCGGAAACAAGAAGCGGCCTCCAGATGAAGACCTTTCTCCTGGGTTGGGAAGGAAGTAAATGCACTTGGCAGAAACCTGCCAACTTTCACTCACAGTGCAACCAGAGGAAGGTAACACAACGAAGGCCCAAAGTCATGGGAGAATGTCATTTAGGAGTTACCAGATGTACACAGCACAGTAACACCATGGCTAAAAATACTAACTCTTAGAAAGAACCTTGGGGTGATGACAATTCAAAATCCCATTGAACGTAGACAGCATTTGAGTTTATCTTGTTTGTCCCTCTTACTCCAATAGTCATCAGGCCTAGATCTGAATGCTTCTAAGCATGACAGGCTCCTCACTTCTCAAAATTGGTTAGCTTCTACTGTTGGTCAGCTCTAGCTGTTGGAAAGCTTTTCCTCTGAGATAAATCTACCTTCTGTTAACTTCTGTCTATGTTCTGCCCCTTGGGATAAGAGTTTCTGAACTTGGCTACATGTTAGAACGACCTATTAAGAATCCCAAAGACCCATTGCAGACTAATCAAATTGACATCTTTATTTCTGTCTGGATGTTCAGACATCTCCCTCTCTCCTTGGGCTGGTATCTACCTTACCAATAATGTGATAATAACGACTATGTTCTAGCCAACACTGCTCAATGTCATTTGTTACCACTTTCTGCCTGGGATCTTTGAAAGTTGGCCCTTAAGACATTAGGCTAAACTGTGAAATAATCCTTCATCAATCCTGGGTGTTGAGAGTTGGAAAGACAAATCTGAAACTTGTTGGGGAAAAGTTTCAGTTGTTGGAAGCTATCAAAGTAGAATCATTCAGGTTAGCCCTTATTTAG